TTCTTGAATTGATAGTTTCATACATAATTTGGAGAATATTTCTTGAAATGCTTGATTGATAATAATTTGGAAGAATGCTTGGTAAAAGTGTTTAATGATAATATTATTTTGATATTTGATAATATGTTCTTATTGTGGAAATTCTGCTTAAGCTGCTATTGTTATATGAATTGGATAATTCTTTCAAAATAATTGATTAATATTTCTTGGTTGATAATTCTTGATGATGCTTAACGTTATGCTTGATGAAAATTAAGAATACTTAATGATGCTTGAAAATGATTAAGAATGATACTTGGGACTAATGGTGCGTTGGACATGGTTACGAACTTTTTGCAACTCTCTCCTAGCAATTTGTATTGAACTTATGATTTATTAAGGGGAGTTTATCAAGATTGGTGTCATTAGCACTTGGTATCCTCAACAATAAGCTATGCAGAGAATTCAACAAATTGGTGTTATTTGTTATCGGTAATATCTTTCTAACACTGAATATGCTTTAATGCTTCTCACTTATGCTTGAGTGTTGAAATGCACAATTTATATCAAGTTTATTCTAACCATTAGGATCAAGTTTTAGGTGTTTTCTATTGGTATCTAGCTTTAAATTTGCATCAAGCTTTATATTATCTTTTCTCACTTGAGCTTTAGAGTTGATCATATATTTCTTAAATGTTTTTAAGCTTTAAAGTTGATACGCTTGGAATGCTAAATGAAAGGAGGAGTTTTTACCAATACTTTACAAATTGATAAAATGGGCTTTCAAATGAGTTTATCCCTTAAAATTTACCTTGTGCTTATTTGCTTTTACAAAGAGGGAACTTTATATCTATCAATTGATATTAGTTTTGAATATCAATGGGATAACGATTGATGTGATAACTGAATATCTTTTTCTAACAATTAGTTTATTACTTATTGTGCTTATTATGTTTTGCAAATTGTGCTTACTTAGTTTCTATTTTCCTTTTTGATATAAGAAAAATGGGGGGATATACTGTGAAAATTTGCATTTTTCAATAAGGAATATTTGATCATCAAGTTTTGAACCTTGCAACTATTTAGGGGGAGTACTTTGAAGCAAAGTTTACTTAAAATTTTGTCATATCAGAAAGGGGAA